CAAGTGTTGATATTTGTTTCAAGCAAGAAAGTAACCATTTGTATTTAGAACAGGTGGTCAGTCTAGCCAAGTAATGCCACTTTTGAAATTTTGAGTACCTGTTAGCACACCACTTAGCAGACAGCTATGTCTCAGTCAGAGCAGAGTTGGATCAGCCAATCAGCATGCAGGACGCATCTCTGCACAAAAAGTAGATGAGATATGGCAGGTGTGCACGTCGGCCCGTCGGCAACCATCAGTGACCTACATTCACCCATAAATCCCTTTGCTGCACACATATACACCTACACATAGTTGCAGAAGGGAATAAATTAAACTTTACCCCAAACTTGACCAAAGCTCACACTTGATCTAACTTTACACTGCATCATTTTCATAAAATTAGATAAATCATGTCATGGGGACCAGCCTCGATAGACAACCCCACCCCAGAAATTTTTTAACTACTACATTTGGTCAAGAGTATACTGGATGTAAAATGAGTTTTAGGGAAAGTGTAAAGCAAAATCAACATTATGAACATGGTTTTAATAAGAAGACTTATGAAAATGAGTAGAGCACTGCCTGATGGATTTGTAGGTCTACGCTGTTGGAGCTTAAAGAACTGTGTCCTTTTCATTAGTTACATACAGTAAAGCATTTTTCCATATAACCACAGTGAGAGGGTGACAACATAGCACACATTCCTCTGACAGGCTTCTCACTGAGCTGCCCATCAAAACTATTCAAAAACTGGTGTGGGATCACAAAGCTGACATTTCAACATGTGAACTCACTCACAAATGCCAGAATCTGAACCTCTGAAGCAATAAAGCTTGTGTACAAACACTATTATAAGCATGTCACAAGAATATAATGCTGGGGAAGAACAATGTGAAGCATTTGCAGAGGAATAAGGCCTGGCAGTGATCCAGTAAACAAACAAGGACTTCCTGCTGCATGTGTCCTCAATGGGAGGAAGGAACCACAACCCTTACCCTCAGGGCTGTGTGTGTGTGTTGTTGTACTCTATTTTTTTTTTTAATTTTTCGCTACAGAATGAGGACATTTTTGGAAAGTAACGACATTTTCGGTTCTCACTTCTCGAACATCTTTTTGAGGGTTAAGACTTGGTTTTAGGGTTCAGGTTAGAATTAGGTTTTGGTTTAGTTCTGATGGTTAAGTGTTAGGTTAAGGGCCTAGGGAATGCAATATGTCACTGATTGATGTCACAAAGATAGAAGTACAAGTGTGTATGTATGTGTGTGTGTCTGGTATTATTCACAGTGTGGGGACTCGGCTCTCCTTGTGAGGACCAGATGCTGGTCCTCACCATGTAAATCATTGAATTTTAGGGTGAAGACTTCATTTAAAGTGAGGTTAGTTTTAGATTAAGGTTAGATGTTAGGCAAGTAGTGCTTATGGTTAAGATTAGGGTATGTTTCCAGTCATTGAATGTACAGTAAGTCAATGGCAAGTCCCCAAAAGGGATGACAATGAATGTGTGTGTGAGTGTGTTTCCAGTTCCCAGACTTTCCTGTTAAAGTACTGTATGTCTTTATACTGTTACTGAGAGTGCATAAAAGAGGAGGTCTCATACTTATTGAAAATTTTAGGGCTCAGTAACAGGAACAACAGAGTGCAGCATCAGCTACAACCAGCAGACTGAATTCCATCTTATTTACACACTCTGTGCAGTAACTGTAAACAACTTCCTGCCTGGTCGTGGTCATGCATATATAAATTAAAACACATTCACTGCCCACATAATAGCTGTTTGTAGGTGAAGCCATGTCTGCAAGATTGTGCTCAATTTGCAACACAAACTCACCAAAGGATATTGATACAGGATATGCTTCCTTGGAATTGTGGTGTAAGGAGAAGAACTGGGTGGTTATGTTGCATTCAATTCTGTGAGATTACATCAACACAAGCATGTTAGGAAAACCCGGGAGAAGATCTCAGATGGATAACAAGAGTGGCAGAGGAACAAGGGTACCATCTTTGTGTCAGTGTTGCATGCAACTGAATGAAGAGTTACTTGCCAGTGAACATGTGTCTGTGAAAGTAAAAATTTGATTTACACATGAAAACCCTCACATCTTTACAGATTAGTGAGTTAGGGACTCATTATGTCAATGTTGGTCCTTTGCGTCCTGATTTTTAGTTGTTTTTCTCCCCAGATTCCCTTTCTTTCCCCGCCTGTCACGTCCTCAGCCAGCACAATCACTAATCATCACCTCCACCTGTTGCTTGTTATCACCCGATTCAGCTCCACATATATAGGCCCCTTTTCCGTTCGTTCCCCACAGGTTTATTGATGATCACACACCTTTATTCCTGACCACTATCTTGTAACCTGCATGCCATCCTGCGTATCCCGATCTCCGGTGTAGCTTCACAATGCCTGCTTGCCTTCGTCCCCAGTTCCATGCTGCATACCTGCCTCGTCTCCTGTTAGCTCACTGCCGTCTGCCTGCCTCGTCTCCAGCTTCACGCTGCCTGACTGCCTCACCTTCTGTCAGCCAGCGGAGCCTGCCTGTCCCGTCCAGAACCCGCTCTGCCTCATTTCCATCCAGTGTCACTCTGCCTCTGTAACCTTCTCTCCTCCACCTGGTAATCCCTTCCTTGGTTATTTAATAAACTCCTTTTTGTTCCTCTCCCGTGTGTTGGCTGCATATTGGCTCCACCCTTACCTGCTAGTCGCAACACATTATTTGGTAAAAAGTAGTCCAACTTGTATTTTCAAATTCCATAAAAATTGTTCACAGTGTAGTCATACAGTAGGTTCATTTTCTAATCCCTGGATGTATATGGATTTATGAGAATTTGCTTAGTCACAAATTTGTCACAATATTCACACACAGCCAAAGTACAACACAAACAAGGACTTGCATTACTGTGTCATCTAATCCTGTGGCCCAGCAAACCTTATCAGACCTTTATTATTTTAGTTAAAAATACAGTCTGACATTGTGTTCATGTTATTTACTGTATTTTTGTTTTGCCATAGCAAGTGATATAACAACAGAAACACAAAAGCTGAGATAGTAGTTGCTAAAAACAGTTAGCTTTACATTTTGCAGAAGAAAATAAAGCAATATCTAACAACAGAAACACAAAAGCTGAGATAGCAGTTGCTAAAAACAGTAAGTTGATTTACAAAAATCTGCATTAATCTCATCCACTGTTACCATTTTTGATGCCATTCTGCTTTGATAGTACTGTACTGTAACACAGCAAGAGAATACATTAGCTGTCCCATAACAGCACACTCTACTGTACCTCACTGTCATTTATTACAGGTGTCCTGTGTCTTTGAGGCCTGTTCTCTATGTGCTGGAGACGTTTCTGATTTGAGTTAAGCACAGACAGGAAACCATATGTCTGAGCTCTCCAGCGTGGCTAGCCTAAACAGCCTCACACACTTTTTCTTCTCAGCAACCAAATGCATGTCTCATAATACACCCGGCTGCCTGTCTGTGACTACGCTGAGGATTCCCCAAACACTGTTTACATGTGATGCACACACCACTGTTCCACTTCCTGTTTGTGATGATGGTGCAGTCATTTCACACGTCAATAACAACCATAATGAGATGAAAAAAATGCCCACAATTCAGAAATGCATGCAAACAGTTTCCTTGTCAGTGTTTAGAGAGAAAGTCAGAGAAGGAAGAAGAAGAAGTGAGAAAATTATAAAATGGAATAAAGATAAGTAAAGATACAGTTTCTCTATAAGTGAAAGAAACCAGGCATGACAGACAACTGGTTAAACACAGAGGGAACGAAGGACAAAGAAAGACAAACAAACCCTTGATTACTCATTTACAGTTGTAACATGAGGAAATAATACAGATGTACTGTTCTGCTAAACAAATATTGGCAGATGTGGCAGCTGTACACCTGTCTGAACAGATGACCTGCTGATTTCATAGGTGGTGGATCAGATATATGGTAAAACATAACATATTTTGCCAAGCTTCAGTGTATTTAGTAAGTTCAAAGTGGGTGTGATTTGCAAGAACCTGTGCAACCAGTTACTGTATATCAACTACATGCAGCTGAGTGACTAGACAAACATGCAGTATATCTTTAAATGATCAAGTTGATGTAGGATATCTTATATGCTTCTTATTATCAAAGAATTCCATGAAGAGACCAAAACCAGCAATGAATGCATTCTACTAACAAGCATGAAAGCCTGATCTCTTATTCCTGTGTGACATACTGTAGGACTCCACAACTAAAAACATATCAGTGAGCCATACTGTTGAACTGGGAGACATGTTCCTTCATTGTCATGAACACACACTATAGTTTCTTTTGACTCAGTTCTGCATAAATCATGTTGCTGCTGTTAATGTGTATTAATCCACAACTAAAACTAGTCTCCAACAAATTGCATATTTTTTCCTGCTGGAGTAACTGTTACAAAGAAAACTATAGTGACCAGCTGTTTTAGGAAATTACTGAGTAATGAAAAAAATCAAACTGTGAGTAGTTATAAAGAGCTTTCACTGAAATGATTAAGCTTGAGCCTGTGCTACAGATAGGGTGGGGACAGTAGTGAGGATGGACTAATACACTGTTGAGTATAAATAGTAAAACAGCCTTAATTTCTTTTTTGGCTACATTACCCAAGAGTTAGCAGTTATCTCTATCCACATCCAGCAGACACGGAGCAACATTAGCATTTGTTTGGGGTGGCGTTTGTGTCCACCTGATGAATGTATATTCCAGTGTTCACTCTCCTCCTCTGTTTTACTCTCCACCAGCTCCCAAGGGACATTTCTGGTTCTTCAACCAAAACGATAAAGCCGTAGGCTGTAAAACCAAACCAATGAGCTGAAAGATGCTAAAATACTACTCAGAGCCAAGGGGACCTGCAGAGATAATTCTCTGTACTCACCAAATCCCTCACTACAAGCCACTCCTTTCACATTACACACAGTAATTTGATCCATGATTTAGTGTAAATACATACATTAATATTGTAAGTGCTGTGTTTGTGTACTCACCAGGGGAGAATATGAGCTTGTCGTTACACTCTTCGTCAGTACAGGAGCAGATGTGAGCCACCCCACCTGTTGTATTCTTCTCCTTTGTCACACAGGTGGAGGTGTTATAGTTATCCAGCATAATGCCATGCAGCGGCTTGGACGGATCATGGCAAAGTGTTTCAATAGAGAAATGTGTCTCATTCTTTCTCCTAAGAGACAGACAGAGCAGAGATGTAATCATTAAACAATGTACAGAACTGTTACCTAGTAAATCACATTTAAGAAATGAAGGCTGTTTTATGCTCGCAGGTACCTACCAGATAGCAACACAGACCTCGCTGTTGCTGGCGCAGATGGATGTAATGGTGCAGTTGGACATGCAGGTCCCTGTACCGTTACATGAGGAGAGCTCCAGGTCACAGAACTTACAAAGCTGATTCATAGGGTAATTAAAAGGAGGTACTCCTGCAGAACAAACACAGAGTATCCATCTGGTTAGCATCATGTTTCAGTTATCACACTGAAGACAGTGATTTTTAAAGCCAGCTTCTGACATTTTTACTCTGGCCTGAGGTGGATAGTGGGGACTGACTAATATAGGATACAAGTCATGTAACAAATAGCAATGGAAACCCATTTATTGACTGAATTGAGACTTGAAATGTCAGTCCATGCTTTTAGTGAACTTTTTTCTGTGCCGTGGTAGAAAATGAAAGTACTAGTCATTGGTCCACAACACAATTTGTCTGCAACTACTGGCCAGAGTTCATGAAATCTGCTGTGGATATTGACAGCTCCCCACAATAATGAAATGTAATATTTCTGGTGACCCCCTTAAACCATTCCTCTAGAATAGCCATCGGCACAATATTTCAGTTTATTCTAATAAATCCAGAAACCTTGCTGAGCACATTCATGCTCCACAGAGGATGAATCCATTCAGTTTGGGACATTACAACACCTTCACATTTTTGGTAAACCAGTGATCTTTCTTTCAGTATCACTATCACAGATTGCTCTGTATCACTGCAAGTATGTAAGTATAGAAGTCATTTCATCTACTTGCTGTGGCTGCAAATGAGGTTGACAGCACTGAGAGTGAACCAAAATAGTAAAATTGTGGGCTGTAAAACCAAAACAATGAACTGAAAGATGCTAATTCATCATTTTGTGAATTAAAAGATAAATCAAACAGGAAAACAATGGGAAAATATATCACTGATGCCTGCATTTTTTAAGATGCACTAATTTC